GGACCCCTGCCCAGCCCCAGCAAAGCACCCAAAAGCTCTTGAGGATTTCACCCCAATGCTGCAGGGACCAGCACGGGTCCTTGCAGAGGGGGTGACCTGTGCTCCCACCAGGCAGCCAAACTCAGCCCAGGTAACGCCAGAGAGCAGCAAACCTCCTCTCTATGATCACAGAATCACAGAATGGTAGGCGTTGGAAGTGACCTCTGTGGGTCATCTAGTCCAACCCCCCCGCCGAAGCAGGGTCACCTACAGCAGGCTGCACAGGACGTTGTCCAGGTGGGTCTTGAATATCTCCAGAGAAGGAGACTCCACAGCCTCCCTGGGCAGCCTGTTCCAGTGCTCCGTCACCCTCAGAGGGAAGAAGTTCTTCCTCATGTTCAGACGGAACTTCCTGTGCCTCAGTTTGTGCCCATTGCCCCTTGTCCTGTCACTGGGCACCACTGAAAAGAGCTTGGCCCCATCCTCCTGACACCCACCCTGCAGATATTTGTAGGCATTTATAAGGTCCCCTCGCAGCCTTCTCTTCTCTCCTCTCAGCCGAGCGTGCAAACTCCCCTTCCCAGGGGTGAAAGCCCCTCTGCCAGCTCCAAGGGATGGCTGAAACACGGGGCGGGCAGGGCAGGGCAGAGCTGAGCCCCGAGCGGTGCGGTGTTCTGCTGGCAAGGCGTCGGGAGGCACTCGGTGGTGGCATGGAGCACGTCGGACCCCCAAAAACCACGAGCCCCTGCGGGCTCGAGCTCCAGGCAGGGCTTTCCAGCATGGACCCCTTTGTTCAGGTCCCTGTGGGATGCTCCGGCCACGCAACCTTACCTGGAACTGCAGCTTGGGAGCCAGGAGGTTGCTCTGGGGTGGTGGCTTGTACCTGGGTCTGCTGGGCTGCGGGGAGTGGAGGAGGGAGGAATGCAGGGTGGGTGCAAGACTGGGGAGGTCCCACTTCTGCAGCACCCACCGATGGGTCAAGGTGGGGAGAGGAACCTGCCTGTGCTGCCCAGCTGGGCTCTGCCCTCTCCTCACCTTCGGAGGTGGCTCCTGGAAGGACGGCGGCTCCATGATTTTGGGAGGCCGGTGGCGGTTGTTCCTCTCCTGCTCCTTGGCCAGCTCCTTCTCCATCAGGTAAATGTCACTGCAGGGGGAGACGGAGGGTGACAGTGCTGGGTGGGAGCGCTGGCACAGCCCCACTGGCATGGACGCATCTCCCATGCCCAGGGATGCTTGAGCTGGATGGGCCAAGGAAAAAACGAGGGAGTACGGAGGGACGGGAAGAGCAGAGGGAAAGGACTGGGAGGACATAGCTTGGTCATGGCCAACATCAGCGTCACCATGGTTGGCCCCAGTGAGATGTGGGGTCAGGATTCCCCTGCAAGACCCCATCCCAGGAAGCAAAGCATTTCCACTTCAGCCCAGGCACCACCAGACCAGAGGCAGGTGGGCTCACATGGGCTCAAAATGGTCCTTTGAGTTCGGACTTGGCCAGAAAACTCCAGACCCAGGGTCTTGCATGGCTTCATTTTTCTCCTTCACCCACTTGCCCACCCTTCCGTCAAACCATGGACCCCAAAGCCCATCATCAGTCCCCTGTCTCCTCGCTCACCTCAAGCTGCAAACCAAGTCCTTGAACTTGGGCCTTTCACTGGGGTCGTAGTCCCAGCAGCGCGTCATGAGGGTGTAGAGCATGGGCGGGCAGAGGTCAGGCTTGGGCAGGCGGTCGCCCCTCTCCAGCACCCCGATCACATCCTTGTTCTCCAGCCAGAAGAAGGGTTGCTTGCCGTAGCTCAGGATCTCCCACATGCACACGGCTGTGGGAGCAAGACGAGCAACCTCAGCTGATGCAATGGTTGGGGCACCAGACCCTCGCTTGAGTTTTTGGGGACCTGGTGACAGTGCCATGCTTTGCTGCATGACACCAGGTCACTGGGCTGCTCGGCCTCTCATAGAATCATCGAGTCATTAAGGTTGGAGAAGACCTCTAAGATCATCAAGTCCAACCGTCAACCCAACACCCCCACGCCTGCTAAACCCCCAGGTGCCACATCCACACGGTTTTTGAACCCTTCCAGGGATGGGGACTCCACCACTGCCCTGGGCAGCCTGGTCCAATGTCTGACAACTCTTGCAGAAAAGAATTTTTTCCTAATATCCAATATAAAAAATAAAAAAGAGGAAAGAGCTGCCTTCTCTCCTGGGAGCTGGAAGGAGCCCAGCTCCTGGTTGCTGCTGGCCATAGGGCTTTTAGGGACAGACAGACGGACAGATGAGTGCCAGAGGCCATGGGGATGGGCTGATAGGCTGGGGATGGATATTTGCAGGGGGTAGAGTTTAACTCAGGCCCCCGACCATCTTGAACTCACTGGAGGAGGAGGAATCACCTAACGATGGCTGGATTGCAAGAACCTCTGCCCCAGGAGACCTTTCCCCAAGGTCAAGGCTGGGGTAACCCTCCCCACCCCAGAGCAGGATTTGTCCCTGTGCATGAAGACGATGCGGCGGGAGGTGGACAATGCCCAGGACCCCGCTCCGGCCCCGTCTCACCACGCACCAAACATCCAGACGTCGCTGGCCGTGGTGAAGCGGCGGAAGTTGATGGACTCGGGTGACATCCACTTGATGGGGAGACGGGTGATGGATGCTGGAGGGAGAGGCAGACGGTGACCCTGCTCACTGTGAGGGGGACGGAGCAGCCCCAGCGCAGGCAGAGCAGGGCAGAGAGGTCTCGCCACGGTCTCTGCCCTCACCGGGCTGGAGTGAGCCCCAACCCCATCATATAGCTCTTACCTTTATAGTACTCCTCATCCTCAATGTACCTCGAGAGCCCGAAGTCGCCCAGCTTCACGCACTCCGGGGAGGCCACCAGGATGTTCCTCACAGCAATATCCCTGCAAGGAGAGAGAGACCCACGGCTGGGGAGAAGGGATGGAGAAGGCCAGTTCTGGGCTCCCCAATTCAAGAAAGATGAGGAGCTACTGGAGAGAGTCCAGCGGAGGGCTATGAGGATGAGGAAGGGACTGGAGCATCTCTCCTACGAGGAGAGGCTGAGGGAGCTGGGCTTGTTCAGACTGGA